GATTGAGGTCGTATACATATATTGCGCGATAAGTCGATATATTGATTATTGCGACAGGCCTACGCGCAGTTGCTGCATTATGCATTCAAAATATTAGAGAAATATAGAAGCTCAATGCGGAGAAGATCTTGATAAGGTTAAAATCGAAACCAAGCCATTCACACAGAACAGATATTCAGCGCATTTTTTAGACGGACAAATACGACTGCTGCACTCGCATCTCACACAAGAGATGTAGCCATGCAAAGTTAAAACAGTTTAAACGTTTAGAAAACACGAATTTGTGGAGGTTTATTCCTTTTCACTGCGTCTCATATGTTTTTAAATACAATCTGAGTGAATGGCGCCCTCCTGTGGCCTTGGGAGACAAGCCAAAAGTTTCCTTAAGACCTATTTAATCTGCATATAAAACATTAGAAATTAAATATTTGTTTAATTTTTATTGTGTGTTTGACTGTTAAAACCAACAAATATTTTTTGCATTTTTTTTCTATTGTTTAAAGTTTAAAAAAGGTTATAAAACATGTAAATAATTGATATTGATAAATATCGATACCGAACGACATTATATTAAGATTTGAGCTAGGATCACATGACTGGAGCAGCTGCTGTTGCACAAAAAGGCAAGAGTGGTGCCGCTGTTTCGAAAACCAGTTAAACTACTAACACAGAAGAAGAGTATCCCGAGAGAGAAGAGGGGATGACGAGTTTTTGTTATTTTTGGTATCTGAGAACATATTTATTCTCACATGTTCTTAATATAATTTCTATTAATTATCCACTGAATTATGTCATCTGGAGTGTCCGTTTTCTTCCACGTGCGCGAGTGTTATGAGTCAGAGCACGTTCACTCTAGATCTTCCATATTAATAAATTCGAGGGAAACATTTTTCTACACATGAAATATGAAAGCAAGTAGACATATGATTATGACAATATATTTTCTGTATGTGTTTTGTATACAGCTCATGGTATTTTTATAACAATAAAGGATGTTTATGACAATAAGCAGTGTGGCGTTATTAAACACAACGAGTGCATGTCTGCCTAGAATCAAAATCAAATATAGATCACAATCGGGAGTTATTACAAGCACTCGATGGTTTAAAGTGGGTTTTTTAAGCAAATACATTAATAATTACATACATTTTCAAATGTGGCTTGATGCTAATTGTACTTCTATTTATATTTTACGAAGTTTTCTTGTAAGCATTATAGATAGTTTGTTTCTGGTGTAGATCCTAACTTTATTTAGCTATATTTATTTAATGCTGTATATTGAGCAGTGGACAATGTTAAATCCATATATGAGATACATATCTGAGGAAAAATCCATTGTTGGTTGGTGCCACCTAGCGTGCAGGCGTGACTTAGCAAAAGGCGAACAATCGTTTCGTGTTCGGTGTGAAAGCACTGTTCGTCGGCGATTCGCCTCACTTTTTCGCATCGTGCTCAGTGTGGAACGGCCTTAAGATATATGTATGTATGTGTGTGTGTGTGTGTGTAGGAAAAATGCATTGTTGGTCGGCGCCACCTAGCGTGCAGGCGTGAATTAGCAGAAGGCGAACAATCGTTTCGCGTTTGGTGTGAAAGCACTGTTTGTCAGCGATTCGCCTCGCGCTCAGTGTGGAACAGCCTTAAAGGGGTCATATGATGCGATTCAATTTTTCCTTCTTAAACCACATAAACACATTTCATTACACCAAATACACAAAATAATGTTCTTTTTAGCAGCATCATATGACCCCTTTAATGTTGTTGAAGTTATTTGTTGCTTTTTATATGCAGCTAATCACTACACCAGCTTAGCATTTCTCATGTAAACCCCATTTTTTGTTGAAAATATGAAAATACCCCAAATCTAATGAAAATCGCATACAAACCGTATACTATAGTAATCGTGTGTTTATTATTTTCATGTTTTGAGTGTAGAAACGTTTTTCTGGGTTTGTTGTGGATAGAACAGAACGCGGAAGTGTGGTGAAAGCCCGTGGTCAGAAGAGACAGGGCGGGTTATGAACGTGTAATATGATTGACAGATGAGCAGCGAATGAGCTTGCGAATGAGTCACAACAGCGACCGCGGAAGAGAAAACATACTGAGACAGTGCTGGGAGCACCTAATGCTCATCGGATCACGTAAATCAGTAGAAAATGAATAGACATTATGATTTTGTGTAAAGAAATTATGTAAATATGTATAAAAATATCAGTATTTCTCCAAATATGTGCACTTTTGGACTAAAAGCCCTAATAGACGCTGTTCAGTGACGCTTGCACATGACTGCCTGCCTGAGTTTTGTCGACAGCCACACAATTTGGCGGAGGCGGCCACCTCATGATTCTCTATGAAGGAAAAACCCTGCAAATGGATCATATTTTGTTCATGCCAGTTGTCTCATAAGGAACAGGTGTATTAGGTTTGGTGCTAAAGATGTTAATTTTTCAAACACCACAGAGCTGCAATTTACAAATGGTATAGTCATGGTCATCTCTGTGCATTAAATGTTTAAATGTTGAATCAATTTGTGAACCCATTTTGGTATTGAATGTAAAGTAAAGAAATGGCATAGTTTGTACAAAACAGCGTCTTTGAAGAGCATAAGGGGTGTGTAACAAAGTACATTAATTTCCTATCTTCAGGCTGATGTGATCATTTGAAACATCCCCTCCTGTTTCAGGCTCATATACTTGACGTTATTGTCTGTTCTTTACCTATTAGGTCCGTATGTATTCTCTCATTGTACAGCTACAAAGAAACATCTCCTTTCCTTGCCTTGCCCAATTATGGTTTTGTTATAGGTTGTTCTTCCAAGTGCTTATTATGTCCATTGATTCCTTTCTCAGTATGTGGCAAACTGTGTTATTGAACGAACTGAAATGTCAGTGAAGTGTGGGGAAGAAAGCAGCAAAGTTCTCTTTTTTTTTTTTTGAGCACAGTATTTTTGTAGGTTTAGTTCTCAGGGCTGCATTTTGAGGCTAGTGTCTGTTTTGCAAGTTTCAGTTCTATAAGCGTACAGAACTGAGTGTCACGCGTGCTTCAGTATTTGTGTAGTAAACAAAACCGTGTTTCCGCCATTCATACATATAGAGGCAAGCGGAACATGCAGGATTCATATTTAAACCGTCTTTTTTGAACACTAGTTCATATCGCGATTTGAATTAATTGGCAGTGGCTACTCTTGATTTACTCGTCCAAAATTGACGAATTCCGTGGCATTCCGCGCTATAGAGTAAATTACGTTTTTATGATTGGACTCCATGATCCCATCCGCGTTTTCGCAGAAACCATATGGCCCTAGAAATGTAACCACACTTCACAACATTTCGGCTTTCCTTGTAATTCGGTCAGTCGGTCGGTACCCTTAAAAATACAGAGTTCGGTACCCAACCCTAGTTAGTTTCAAGGAAAATAATTTTCAAATAATGTTCTTTTTTTTTTTTTTTGCCAAATAACCCTGTGTATGTGTCCACCCCTGCAACCCCCCAAACCCCAGAGAAAAGTTCAGACTCAGGATTTTTTTTTGCTTTAACCCCTGCGTGGTGGATGTATCCATGCAATTATCTGTGGGCAGGACTGCTTTGCGTTACTTACAGGTGGCATGTGAAGAAACGTATCAAAATGGGGGTTGTTAAAATGACATTGTCTGTGACAAATTGACGCACTCAAATGAAATTGTTACAGTTACAGACATGTGTGTGTATATTGGGTATGTTACAGTGTAACTCGTCAGAATTTATTCTGGTTTATAATATTATTGCTATTTTTATTATTTCTGTAATGATATATATTTTTTAAATATATAATTGAATTTATTTTCAAATGAAAAAAAAAAATATATATTTTTACTATATTTAACATTTCATGTAATTTATTGTTAATAAATATAAAAATATTGTTTTATATTACATAAAACCGTGTATATATACAATGTTACCATAAAATTATTTGTATAGCAATATAAGTCTTTGGTCATGCAGCCCACCCCTAAATACATAAAAATATTTACATATACATATCTAATATTACAGTAATTATGGCCCTATGAGATCAGTTTTATTTGATCCCAAATTCAGTTTCTTTTATTTTTTTTGTCCCAGTTTAAATTTTTCTGGATACTCTTTTAATGATTAAATTAAAAAGAATGTACAAAAATGTAAAAATATTATTATTTTTTGTTTGTTCTGGGTTACTTTTTAATGCTTTAATATAACTGTAATAATCAAAAAGCATGTCGAAATTTATATGTAGATGTAGACCTACAAACAGTAGCACCTCTGGTTGCCTTAGAAAAATCAATAAAGTACAGTGTTCCCCAAGACCTGTAGTTCTTCATGCATCATAACCTACTGTCACTTATCACAGTCTTTCTCCCTGCCTCCCTCCTTGTGTATCACTCCTAATTCTGTATGTCTTTTTATTGTCTGGCAGACAGACACTCTGGATGGGGCCTTTCCAGTGCCTGACATCAAACTCCACAGCAACCCCTCTGCATTCAACGTCTACTGTAATGTACGGCACTGCGTCCTGGACTGGCAGCAGAAGGAGGCCGCGTTGGCCCTGGCCTCCCGCAACTCTGTGCAGAGCGGCGACTCGGACAGTGAGGAGGAAGAGGAGTACCGCGAACCCGCCGTCAAACTCCCCAAGGTCAGTCGACGACATTAATAAAGCCCAATCTTATGATCCTGTCGTTCGTGCTTTAGTATATATCCTTTTTTGTTTCATTTCTGCCTTTTGTATCTCTTATGATAACTGCAGTGCTATATTATAAGAATATTACTTCAGTATGGTTAATAATATTTGAGCTTCTTGTGTGGTCATGATACTAAACACCAGCATTGGATTAATTAATGATGGCCTGGCTTTCTACTGAATGTGATTGCCTAAGCTGTGAAGAATACATGCCATCCTGTGTGAGGTGTCTTACGCCATATTTACACCAGGTGCCACCGTTGTCGTTCCATAACAGCATGAGGCTGTCTACAGTGGACGCATTAAAGTGAAAGTTTTGAATCCATTTGTACTGTTGTCGGAAGTAGCACAAGCGCTTGGAGTATGTTAGAAATAGAATGGGGCATCAGTCACAACTAGGGCTGGGCGATATGTAAATTTTCTTTTAGCGATAATCGCCTTAATACATATCGCGATATCCGTTAATAATAGTCTATTCGAGCCCCGCCCCGTCCCTGCCGGAGACAACATAGCCTACACGCACCGTAAACACACATCAGTTTGGTTGCGCTTTATCTGACAGTAGCCTGCGATTCAGTAAGCATAATTTAATTAAAGGTTATAGGTTCGTTTTTCTTTTCTTACTTTGTGCTTAATATAAAACATTAGCTTTGTTGTTATGTTAGTGAGCGGCGCATGCGCAACACCGACCTCATACGTCATCCGCCCAGAGCTGCTTCCGTGTATGACTGTTGTCGCAAGCTACATTAAAGTGATTATTACGTTTTGAATATGGATATTTTTCTTACAAAAAAATGCATCGATTTGCTACAGGAGGCCTTTGTTCACCCCTCGGAGCTGTGTGAGACACTTTTTTTTTTTTTATGGATGGAACTAATTTTGGACAGATGCATGCAACACCCACTGAGTGGCATTAAACAACTTGAAAGATCAAAGACTATTTTTAATATAACTCTGACTGGATTCGTCTGAAAGAAGTCATACTCATATACACCTAGGATGACTTTAGGGTGAGTAATTTATGGGCTAATTTTCATTTTTGTGTGAACTAATCCTTTAATTTCTGCACTGCTCTTATCCAGTATTTGAAATTAATTTCGTTTTGTGAAGACAACAGTTGAATTGAACAGAGTTTAACGGAGTTCATTGTGAAGGTGGACATACTTGTGGTGATTGTAAGAATGATAAATGCATGTTGATGTCACATAGCAATGTGTCTTGCCTATTTTTCATGAGGTCCGATGTCTCTCTTTCATTTTTGGTGTTGTCTCTTGAGTAGACACATTTCATTATGATAAGTTTAATTTCCTTAACGTGTAGCGCTGTTTTTTTTTACTTGTAGTCAAGCTATAAGATATTTGTTATTTGTCTAAAATTAGCAATTAAAAACAAATTGGTTCCTTCTGCATGACCAAAAACGGAAAGGATATTTTTTTTCTCATGTTTTTAGAACTCCGAGGTGTCCTTATAGGCCTACGAAATAAAAAAATTGCTGCATTATTTATTTGGAAAAATAAGTAATTGGGTCAAAGACGAAAAGGGTGTTTCAAGCATCAAAAAAAAAAAGTGCAATACAGCTTTAAGTTTTGTTTTTTTCCCCATACATTAGAATGTGTTCTGTTTAAGTTTATATTTTTCTGAACAAAAAAAAATTATTATCATGCAATTTTTTTTACCATGTTTGACAGAACACACACACTAAAATGTCATTCAGTGTAACAATATTTATATACCAAAAAATCTTGTTAGGCATTTAAAACATGAATCATTTGATGACATATTAAAAGACTCCATTTAAGCATCACAGTAGAGACCTGAAATGGAAATTATTTTCAGTCCCGCCCGCTCCCGCCCGCAAAAGCCCGCATAAAAGTAATCTATATAGATTTTTTTTCAGTACATCGAAGAAATTTACATAAAATGGTTCTGTAATATCTCCTAAGCTCCACAACATACCAGCATAAACGCTTCCGGTAAAATATTTGTTATTTAGGCTAAGCATCTACATTCACATTCACAAACCACTGTTATTTTTAACAGAAAAGCAAGCATGTGCTGCTGCGTGCATTGTTTGGCATGGCAGAATGCGAGCAGCACACTTCCTTTATCATCACTAAAAGCTGACATCTCAGTTAATCGCGATCTCATAAAGCTGTGTTCTATCACATTAAATATATGCACAATGAATCTTTCACACACTCTTAACCCGAATTAGTTGACTTCACTAGAAATTTGCGAAGAAACCCGTTGCACTAAACCATTTTAGTTTTTACACAAATTGAAACTAAACAGCTTTAGTTGAATTAACATAGAACCTTAAGTTTATGCAGTAGACAAATCAAGTTTACATTAGTAGTCTTTACTCAAAATCATTAGTTCACATCAATTATTATTTGGAGTATACTTAAAATAACTATTGCAAGTTACAACTACAAAAATATATATATTAGCAAATAACATTAACAAATGTTTTTAAGTAATGATAAATGTTATATTTATGTAATGTCAATGTAATTAGACATAGATTTTGAGATTTATTGTATTAAACACTGTTTCAAATAAATTGGAAAAAAAGAAAAACAGATTTCAATGCACAAATGTTTTTTTTTATTGTTCACCAAAGAAATGGTAACACGACAATACATTAAACTTTTCAGCCACAAGACAAGTAAAAATAAGCTTTGAAACAGCTTACTAACAATTGTAACTATTTTGTAGAAGAAACATGAACACACAGTATTCAACAATATATGCTATATCCCTTGTGAATGCCTGGATATGCATTAAAAACT